AATAAATTCCCCAAACTTATTATTCATCTCAAGACCGGCTCCCAATGCCAAAGCTCTTGCTCCATCAGCTTATGAACGGCCTCCCCAACGCCGTCATACCATTATATGACGATCGGCTCATCATCGCCTCGTCATCATTATTCGGATCGGCTCATCATCATCGCCATCCGTTCTTCACGATCGGCCCCTCGGCCACGACGTGATACTTTATCTCAAGACCGGCTTCTCATCGCCGAGTGTCTTGAGCTAGCGACCGGGCTTGCTTTTCCCTTCCGGCGTAGCAACCGTCGCCTTTATATGACGATCGGCTCATCATCGCCTCGTCATCATTATTCGGATCGGCTCATCATCATCGCCATCCGTTCTTCACGATCGGCCCCTCAGTCACGACGTGATACTTTATCTCAAGACCGGCTTCTCATCGTCGAGTGTCTTGAGCTAGCGACCGGGCTTGCTATTCCCTTCCGGGATAGCAACCGTCACCTCTATATGACGATCGGCTTCATCATCGCCTCATCATCATCCGGATCGGCTCATCATCATCGTCGTCCGCTCATCATGACCAGGCCCCCGGCCTCAGCGTGATGCTATATCTCAAGACCGGCTTCTCATCGCCGAGTGTCTTGAGCTAGCGACCGGGCTTGCTATTCCCTTCTGGCGTAGCAACCGTCGCCTTTATATGACGATCTGCTCATCATCGCCTCGTCATCATTATTCGGATCGGCTCATCATCATCGCCATCCGTTCTTCACGATCAGCCCCTCGGCCACGACGTGATACTTTATCTCAAGACCGGCCTCTCATCGCCGAGTGTCTTGAGCTAGCGACCGGGCTTGCTATTCCCTTCCGGGATAGCAACTGTCACCTCTATATGACGATCGGCTTCATCATCGCCTCGTCATCATTCGGATCGGCTCATCATCATCGCCGTCCGCTCATCACGACCAGGCCCCCGGCCTCGACGTGATGCTATATCTCAAGACCGGCTTCTCATCGCTAAGTGTCTTGAGTTGGCAATCGGGCTCGCCGTCCCTTCCTGGATGGTGACCGTTGCCTCTACATGACGATCGGCTCATCTCCGCCTCATCATCATTATTCGGATCGGCTCATCATCATCGCCATCCGCACATCACGATCGGCTTCTCGGCACGACGTGATTATTTATGTCAAGACCGGTCTTAGTCATCCCTTCCCAGATGGCGACCGTTGCTTGGATCCTTGGATAGGCCCTTCAGTGCCGACGCCTATACATCACGATCGGGCCCTTCGGCCACGACTTGATGCTTTATCTCAAGACCGGCCTCCTTAGCGCCAAGTGTCTTGAGCTAGCGACCGGGCTCGCCATTCCCCTCCTGGATGGCGACCGTCGCTTCCATATGACGATCGACTCATCATCGCCTCGTCATCATTATTCGGATCGGCTCATCATCATTGCCATTTGCACATCACGACCGGCCTCCCAGCCTTGGCGTGATTATTCATCTCAAGACCGGTCTTAGTCATCCCTTCCCGGATGGCGACCGTTGCTTGGATCTTCGGATCGGCTCATCATCATCGCCATCCGCACATCACGATCGGCCCCCAGCCTCGACGTGATGATCTAGCTCAAGACCGACTCTCTCATCGCCAAATGTCTTGAGCTAGCGACTGGGCTTGCTATCCCCTTCCGGGATAGCAATCGTCGCCTCTACATGACGATCGGTTCATCTCCGCCTCGTCATCATCATTATTCGGATCGGCTCATCATCATCGCCATCCGCACATCACGACCAGCCTCCCAGCCTTGGTGTGATTATTCCTTCTCAAGACCGGCTTCTCATTGCCAAGTGTCTTGAGTTGGCAATCGGGCTCGCCGTCCCTTCCTGGATGGTGACCGTTGCCTCTACATGACGATCGGCCTTATCATTGCCTCGTCATCATATCTCGGACATGCCCCTCAGCATCTTCGTCCTCACATCACGATCGGGCCCTTCGGCCACGACGTAATGCTTTATCTCAAGACTGGCTCCCTCAGCGCCGAGTGTCTTGATCTAGCGATTGGGCTTGCTATTCCCTTCAGGGACAGCAACCGTCGCCTCTACATGACGATTGGCCTATCATTGCCTCGTCATCATACATTGGACCGGCTTATCATAGTCGTCGTCCTCGCATCGCGACCGGCCTCTCGGCCAAGGCGTGGTACCTTATATCAAGACTGGTCTTAGCCATTCCTTTACTGGGTGGCGACCATTGCATGGATTTTTGGGTCGGCCCCTCAGTGCCGATACCCTCACATCATGGCAGGCCCTTGGCCTCGACGTGATCATATTCCCCAAGACCGGTCTCAGTCATTCCTTCAACGGATGGCGACCGTTGTTTGGACGTTTCGCTCAGCCTCATAGAGCTGACGACCTCGCATCACGATCGGCCCCCCGGCCTCGACGTGATGCCCTCTCTCAACACCGGCTTCATCAACGCCAAATGTGTTGAGCTAGCGATCGGGCTCCCCATCCCTTCCCGGATGGCGACCGTCGCCTCTACATGACGATTGGCTCATCTCTGCCTCGTCATCATTATTCGGATCGGCTACCCATTATCGCCATCCTCATATCACGACTTCCGCCCCGGCCTCGGCGTGATGATCTATCTCAAACATCGGCTTCATCAGCGCCAAGTGTGTTGAGCTAGCGATCAGGCTCGCCATCCCTTCCTGGATGGTGACTATCGCCCCTACATGGCGACCGGCTTATTATCGCCTCGTCATCATTATTTTGGATCGGCACCTTATCACGGCCGTCCTCACATCATGATCGGCCCCTAGGCCACGATGTGATGTCCTATCTCCGAGACCGGCCTCTCATTGCCGAATGTCTTGGGTTAGCGATCGGGCTCGCCATCCCCTCCTGGATAGCGACCGTCGCCTCTATATAACGATCGGCTCAGCATTGCCTCGTCATCGTATCATCGGACAGGCGTCCAACGCCTCGTCCTCATATTCAGACAGTTGTCCAACGCCTCGTCCTCATATTCAGACAGGCGTCCAACGCCTCGTCCTCATATTCAGATAGGCGTCCCACGCCTCGTCCTCATGTTTGGATCTAGCAAACATCTTGCGGTCTCCATCTGAAAGACTAAAGGATCCCATATGTCATCTACAGGCCCCTCGGCCATATAGCGCTCTGTCGTCTTTATTTGATGATGACGAGAAGCTCATCTACAGGCCCATCGGCCGTATATCGCTCTGTCATCTTTATTTGATGACGAAGAGCTCATCTACAGGCCCCTCGGCCATATAGCGCTCTGTCATCTTTATTTGATGACGAGAAGCTCATCTACAGGCCCATCGGCCGTATATCGCTCTGTCATCTTTATTTGATGACGAAGAGCTCATCTACGGGCCCATCGGCCGTATATCGCTCTGTCATCTTTATTTGATAACGAAGAGCTCATTTACAGGCCCATCGGCCATATCGCTCTGTCATCTTTATTTGATGACGAAGAGCTCATATAGGCCCCTCGGCCATACATCGCCCCGTCGTCTTTATTTGACGACGTGGAGCTCTTATGCAGGCCCCTCGGCCATACATCGCCCCGTCGTCTTTATTTGACGACGTGGAGCTCTTATACAGGCCCCTCGGCCATACATCGCCCCGTCGTCTTTATTTGACGACGTGGAGCTCTTATGCAGGCCCCTCGGCCATACATCACCTCGTCGTCCTTATTTGACGATGTGGAGCTCTCATATATGCCTCTCGGCCACTCCTCCTGGTCATCTTTATTTGATGACGTGGAGCTTATACCGGCCCATCGGCCTCATATTCTGGTCATCTTTATTTGATGAACCAGACATCATATTATGGACGGTCGCTCGACCCATCCGTTAGTCATCTTTATTTGATGACTAGGACTACTGATCATGACGAGCTACCCACATCTAGGGATCGGCCTTGGCCATCCCCTTGGCAGACGGACACCGCTGCAGCTCCACCTCTAGGCCGAGGGGCTCGCACCTTTTGCTTCGTTCTGGGGGCATCCGATGTACTCTTTTTCCCTCATTAGGACTTTTTCCCACAGGGATTTTCCTAATGAGGTTTTTAACGAGGCATCTCCCCATTGTGGATCAAAAGGTGTCAACCCTCGGCCCCCCGTTGCAGACATCATCAGACATGCATTACTCTACTCCTCTTCACCTCATTACACTCGCCTCAAGGAGTGGGGGACTGGGAGAGCGGGGGACTTAGCGCCTCCGTTACCAAAGAAGCAAAAATTCAAATTTTTTGCAAGGATTGCCACACACACCGACGACATCATCGTATCGCATACATATTCAGCTGCCACATCGGCCAGTACATATACACACCGACGACATCATCGTATCACATACATATTCAGCTGCCACATCGGCCAGTACATATACATAGCTCCCCGGCCTCAAGACCGGTGGTCTCTGGTCTGTAACCTTCGGCTAAGGATTCTCTCACAGGGTTGCCTCAGTTAGGGCTCGCCAATAGGACCTGATCATCGGCCTGGAAATCCGGGCGAGGCGCTTCGGCGATGACAGCGGTTTACTCACCAGACGACGACAGATCAGCACATAGTTCTACTCTCTTTCACCTCGAGTACTCTCGACTCAGAGAGTGGGGGACTCCTGATAGAGTATATAGACTCGGACCCCCGGGTCTCACGACTATTGGGCCCGGACAGCGGCCCACATACGCTCAGTAGATAGCATTTATCTCATTGTACACTTTATTTATTCAGATGTATCCATTAGAATAGATTAGATATCATTTATTAGCCCTTTGACCTTTTATTGTAGTTGGGCCTTCCAGGCCCAAGCCTGGTAGCCCAGCCCACTTTTCTCCTATAAATACTCCCTATGGGAGCCATGTAAAGGGGAATGATTGGATGGTTGATTGGAATTCATTATACATATCACTTTATCTCTCTAGCTCTCCCTTCTCTCTAGAATTAATACTCTATCACTTATAAACTTTGTTTTCTTCACCTTGCTTCACATATCCTGCAGGTTGCTCAACATATATCTCCTCTTCCAAAGAACCATTTAAAAAGGCTGACTTTACATCCATCTGATGTATTTTCCAATTATTTTGAGCGACAATGGAAATAAGCATGTGTATTGTATCAAGTCTGCTTACTGGAGCAACAACTTCAAAATAATCAATAACTGGTTTTTGTTTGTAACCCTTTGCTACCAGCCGCGCTTTAAACCAGTCAACTTCACCATTAGACTTGTATTTTGTCTTGAACACCCACTTTACTCCAATCGGCTTCTTTTCTGGAGGTAAATCCGTCAACTCCCAGGTACCATTTTTTTCAATGGCACATATATCCTCATCCATTGCCTTAAGCCATTGAGATTCTATAACAGCATCCTCATATGATACAGGATCACAATCTGCAAAAAGGGCAAATTGAACAATCTCTTCATTGGAAAGATCATTGCCCACAACATAATCCTGCAAACGAGATGGTATGATATGCTCGTGTTGGGATCTACAAATTGATAATTCAGGTTGTAAAGACGGTTGATCATTAGCAGGAATGGACTGCTCATCAATATTACAGGGAAAAACAGGAACAATAACTGGTCTTTCTTCCTTTGTAGACCAATCCCAGACACCATACTCATCAAAAATGACATCACGAGTTATAACAAGTTTTTTGTTTCATGATTATAAAGTTTATAAGCCTTTGATGAATCACTATAACTAATAAAGATGCATTTCTCACCTTTATCATCAAGTTTCTTCCTCAATTGATCTGGCACATGGGCATAGGCTAAACAACCGAAGATCTTGAGGTGTCTGATAGAAGGCCTTCTTCCACTCCACGCTTCCTCCGGTGTCTTATCTCTGACACTTTTCGTTGGACACCAATTCTACATATAAACTGCACAGGCAGCAGCTTCTGCCCAAAAAAAACTTAGGCATATTTTTAGACTTCAACATACACCTTACCATATCCATGATGGTTCTGTTTTTTCTCTCAGCCACTCCGTTCCGTTGCGGAGTGTATCTAGCTGTCATCTGATGTTGAATTTCATTCTTGTTTAAAAACTCATCACACACAATATATTTTGTCCCCCTATCATTCATTAAGATTTTTATTTCAAAACAACTTTGTTTTTCCACAGAGCATTTGAACTGTTTGAAAATTGTGCAAGCATCTGACTTTTGGCTTAGAAAATAAATCCATGTTTTTCTACTGAAGTCATCAATGAAAGTAATAAAAATAAAATACTTACTACCTTCATATGAGTGAACCTCCAATGAGCACAAATCTGAATGAACAATCTCTAGCTGCTTTGTGGCTCTCCAGGACATGCCTGAAGTAAAAGGTTCTCTGTGCTTCTTCCCAACCGCATAAATCTCACAAACACAATCAGGTATATCCACAACACGCAAATGAGAAACTAGCTTCTTTCTTGCAAGTTACATTAACCCCGAGAAATGAAAATGCCCAAACCGCATATGTCATAACCAATTCTCATTTGGAATCTCAGAATTAAAGCATGGAAAAAATGTGTGATTAAGTTTCAAAGCAAATAGCCGATTTGTGACATATTTACCTCTGCTATCAGATTCCCATTAGTTTTAGTGATAATACAACATCCCTGAGAAATGCTTATTTTATACCCCTTTTCTGACAATTGTCCCAAACTCAACAGATTTTGATGAAGTTCAGGAACGAAAAAAACACCGGATATAAAATTGTGTGTACCATCTTTCAACATAATCGAAACTTTAACTTTTCCCAGTATTGGTACTCTTGATTTATTGCCAAAAGTAACCTCAGATCGAAATGATTCATCCAACTCCGAAAATAGTTCTTTTCTTCCACACATATGGTTACTACAAGCAGTATCCAGAAACCATATGTTCTCATCTGCAAGCAAAGCATCACTTGCCAAAGGTAAAGTTTCAGATTCATTGGATTGCTCACCAGAATTTTCAACTATGTTTGTTCGATTGCTTTGATTGTTCTTATTATGTCAGCGATCTGCAATTTTGTGTCCAATCTTCCCACATTTGTAACAATGATATGGAAACTTATCCTGATTGGAAATGCCTCCACCTCTTCCTGGATTTGTGTTTCCACGTCCTCTTCCTCTAGATCCTCCTCTTCCTCTTCCACGACCTCTACCAGGTCCTCTTCCTCTTTAATTAGAATCAGCCGAGTTAAGATTGACTTGACTCTTTAAAGCCTCCTCTATTGATGATTGTGTTTTTGCATCAATCCTATCGATATGGCTCTCCGTCATTCCTTTCAACTCTGCAACCGATAGGAGTTCAACATCAGGTGACTCTGTTATTGAGGCCACCACATGATCATACTTCATCGGCACGGTTCGAAGCACTTTGTCAACCACAGAACCATCATCAATTTTGTCTCCATATAGTCTCATCTTATTAACAAGATTAGTAAGATGAGAAAGATATTGTTCCAGTTTTTTCATAGAGGTCATCTCACATCGATCGTATACCCTTCTTAACAACTGCAACTTTGACTTTTGCGCTCGATCAACTCCTTCATATGACACCTTCAGAAAGTCCCACGCCTCCTTTGCTGTGTTTGCTCCAGCTATTTGCCCAAAAACAGAGTAATCAACACCTTGGTGAATTTGTCCCAATGCGAGTTGATCTCTTTCCTGAGAATTTACATCAGCACCTTCCGCAAGTCCAGGATCAATAAAACTCCAAATATTTTGAGCCTTCAAATGTGTGGACATCATTATCTACCAATAATTACAATCGAGCTTCCCATCTAATTTGGGCCCAGACCAAACAATATTGAAATTATTTGCCATATTTCACAAGGGGAAAATATTTCAGGATTGGAAGTGTGATGGCTCTGATACCAAGTGTAGATATATGTATATTCACACTATATCTTAATTTGTATTCAGGGAGAGAAAGAAAATCAAAGAACTTGAAGGGATATTTTTATTGATCGAGTTCAAGTAAGTACAAAGCTAAAGCTCTTCAATATTTATAATACTAGAAATAACTGTAAATCCTAAAGCAAACTCTTCACATAGTCTAGCCTTATCACTAGTGCACGTCCTGAAACAGGCAGCCCTATTCTTCAGCAAACAGTTATTTGACTTGGTTTAATATTATGATAACACATTTGTGTCTAATTTGTCAATTCATTAAAATCTGCACCGAAGTGTTAATGTTTGATATTAACAAGGTCTGAAAATGCGATGGAAACTCCATCATGGAACAAAAATTGGATTGAAATTCCCATCTGGAAGTAATCTTGTTACATCCAAGCTTGTACCCCCGGTTAACAGAGCTTCTTGGCTATAAATGCTAATTTTAGTGATTTGAAAAAACTCCTTTAAAAAGTGTAAACTCTTATTCGTTGTGTTTAAAAATAGGATCCTTTAAAAAGCACAAACGCAATTTTAAAATTTGCATAAACACAATTTTAAAATTTGCATAAACGCAATTTCAAAATTTGCATATACCTTCTCACTTCTTTTTTGTTCTGCATTAAGCACTTTTTATCATTTGTTCGATCTATTTTCATTTTGAGTAATTTCAAATTTTGTCTTATAGTAATATGTTAATTCTCTCATTTTGTCTACATTTCCTCCTCTACATTCATACTTTATAAATTCATACTTTTTTCACTTTTATATGCATCTCATATTTCATACTTCTTGATCTATAATTTTTTGCATTTCTTCTACCTTCTAAGGAAATAAATAGTAGTATAAGGGAGGGAGTAGGCATTAAGGCCCGTTTGGTACCTCCTTTTTTGGCATATCAGCCCTATCAATCAAATTATTACAAGTATAATTGGACTTATGTTTCTAGCCGAATTGGGTGATTTTGGTGGAGATGACTATTTTGACCTTTTCACATTATTTTTCTTTACTTAGTTAAGAGTGCATAATCTAAAACTAATTGTTTCATAATTTAGTAGATTCAATCATTTCACTCGAAATTTCACCGTTCAACATATGCCAATTTCAAATTACCATAGTGAGTACTCCTAATCATATATATGATTATAAGAGTGGATTATATTTTTCTCCATAGCTCTTACTCGTAGTCAGAGGCGGTCAATCACACTTTCATCATCTCACCTATAAAACCCAAAGCTTGGACACACACAACACATGACCTAGCTAGCTTGATACAAGAATTATAGTAGTAATTAAGTAGCTAGCTGGCTGGCTAAACCATCTTAATTCTCATAGAATGAAGGAAGGAGCTATGGAGAAAGCCGTCCCCAAAAGAATGAAGGGTGGAATGATCACCATGCCATTCATATTTGGTATATTATAAGCTCAATTAATTCAATTAGCTTCTTCAAGTCAATATTTCTTCAATAATTTTACTTAATTAATGCTTTAATTAACCAGTTTAATTATATGATGGCAGCCAATGAGGTGTGTGAGAAGTTGGCCGTGGTGGGATTTGCAGCTAACATGATTATCTACTTGACCACTCAGTTGCATCTTCCGTTGACTAAAGCGGCGAATACTCTCACCAACTTCGGCGGAACCGCCAGCCTGACCCCCTTGCTCGGAGCTTTTGTCGCCGACACCTTCGCCGGAAGGTTTTGGACCATAACTATTGCTTCCATCATCTATCAAATTGTAAGTATCTATGAGTATTGTTTTTAAGGTATGCTTTTGAAAAAGTCAATCTAGTAAGAATAGTTTAAGATTTTTTTTGTTTTTTGGAGACAAATCTATCAAAATTTCTCGAATTAAAAAGGTATGACTAAGTAAAGAACCACGAAGAAAGTAGTAGACACAAATTTGACTTGCATATAGAGCCCATTTGGTGATCATGGTTTCGGTTTATCAGGTTTAGCAATCAACGTTTTTACCAAACACGTAATTATTGATGTCTTGCGTTGCGTTGTGTAATAATAAGAAAAAGTATGATTGAAGTTAATTTTCTGGTTGTATTGACTCAAGTTACTATAGAGGACTATTTTAGCTGTTTTTACATGTAATTTTTTCTTTATTTTATCAATAAGATGTATTCTAATTATATTTTTTCATATAATTCAGCAGAATCAGTCACTTTAGCCATAATTTCATAAATATCTGCATAATTAGCCGATTCAGCCGAACCAAACAGGCTTATGGTTGTTATGATATGACATTTTTTCAATTACTATTGTGATTGTGGTGATGTTCAATTTTAAGCAATGGATGTTTTGTGGTTCATAAAATGATTGTAGCAATATAAAACGCATAAGTTGTAAAAGAAAATTATATAAGTGTTACGTAGTTTAGTATTTTATATAATATATGGTTTGTACTTGATTATTAGGGCATGACTCTCTTAACAATATCGGCAATACTACCACAATTAAGGCCACCACCGTGCAAACCAGACCATAGTTGCCAGGAAGCGAACTCGGGACAAATTGCGGTCCTTTACGTCTCCCTACTCCTAACCGCTTTCGGGTCGGGCGGGATCAGGCCGTGTGTGGTGGCATTTGGGGCTGATCAGTTTGACGAGGCCGACTCGCAACAAAAGACACAAACATGGAGATTCTTCAATTGGTACTACTTCTGTATGGGAGGATCCATGCTCGTGGCGGTGACCGTGGTGGTTTATATACAAGATAACATTGGCTGGGGGTGGGGATTCGGCGTCCCCACCATAGCCATGGCAATCTCGATTGTCACGTTTGTTTTCGGGTACCCTTTGTATCGGAACTTGGCTCCCGCGGGCAGCCCTTTCACGCGGCTCGTGCAGGTGTGTGTGGCCGCATACAAGAAGAGGAAGGTGCCCATGGTCTCCGATCCGGCAATGCTTTATCAAAATGAGGAGCTTGATTGTGCTATTTCTCTCGCAGGGAAGCTTTGTCACACTAAACATATGGAGTAAGTCTTTTTTAACAATTTAAGTGCATGTATATAATTTCTGTATAAAAGAAATTGGTCCAAATACTGAAAATAGGAATACGAATAAAAAAGAACCCATATTTTATATTTTAAAAAAGAATTACCCAATATAACTCATTTAATTCACGTGCTTTGATTAGACGGAGTAATTTGTAGGCCTAAAGTGTAGGTCCTTTATTCTGACCTTTTTAGTTGTATAATCTTCCAAAACTGTAGGGCCTTTGGTATGTAAGAAGAGGCCACAGATCAAGTCTTGGCACGATACTACTCCGTATTTAGGGTGTAGTGATGTATCCAACTCATGATGTCCTTTCGAAAATTATTGAACATTATTACTTGCTTTGGTGGAGTTGGGATAATTATAAATTTGACTTTTGATCAACGATTAGAAATAATTCACTTAACCAAAATTCATAATGAGTGCATGCTTAAGTAATTCCTTGGCTTATTAGCTAGATATGTTTGCCCATTCATCGCTTAGCTTTCACCTTTTAAAGCAACAAATTGTAACTAACTAGTGCTATAGATTTTCTCAAGTAGCCTATGTTGCACGGAAACACGAAAATCATGAGAAAACGGGTAATGTGAAACGTTATCTTTTGCTTAAAAAGGGCTTATTTGAAGAGTTTTCAAAGTGTTTCGAGGAGTTTCAGAAACGGAAAACATACTATTTCCCAAGAGTTTCCGTGCTACACAGTGGTTTGCTGAAAATCACCATGTTTTATTTCAAACGTATGGCCTTACAACATAGTTATTTCATACTTCGTAAGTTAGTAGTGTGCTCAATCTAATCATTCAATATTAGTACGTACTGGGCTCAAGTTTTATAGTGTGCTCATAGAAAACAAATACAAATCGGAGTACAACAGTGCACTATTATGGAGAGTAAGTGTATAAATACTTGCTAGTTTTGAACAAATGAGTGTGAGTGTGGGTAATGTTTACATTATGTATAAATTAAATCAATTGTAAGTTTGGTTACTGTGGTAAAATTATTTTCAACTAAAACATTTTTGTTACTTGGTCAAAAAAAAAAAAACATTTTTGTTACAGTTTTTGTGTTTTTTTCATTTTATATGATTCCACTATTGTAACAATGACAGTGCACATTCTTTACTTTTTTCAGCAGTTGAAGGCTTAAGAAAGTCAAATTCACGAACAAGTAACACACATAAGACATACGGAGTACTACTAGTATCTACGGAGTATAAGAAATTGCTCATAGCATTGTAGGAACAAGACATATATAGACCATATTGATAGATATGCATGATGGATAAAGTTTATTTAGTACTAATAAAATGCATCATCAAAGTGTTTTAGTGAGTGTTTTACAAACTAAATGAGACATTCTATAAAAAATATAATGCTAATTTTATTAAAGCTAAGGACTACTCGTCTACTCCGTATTATATATGGAGTATTTTAAAGTATCGTGTCAGGATAACTATAAAGATGCACTGCAACGGAAGAGTTGAACACATGTGTTCGTATGTACCTTTTGCCAACAATTAAGACTGTCTTCTTAACCGTACCCTGAATAATATATTCAGAAAATATGAGGATATGGATCATAAATAATAAGTATATACTCCGTATATAATATATTATTGTGATAATGTTACAACCATCTTATATTGGGGGAGCTACAATTGGATAAATTTGTTATGAACATAACATACGAGGATTATGATCGAGAATCGAGGTGTCTTTCAACTCAAATCTACGCTAGGGGAATTAAAGGACTTGCGAAATCTTTAGATTTACAATGATAAACAGATTTATATTTTCTAGTTTGATTTGATATAGGCCCTATTTGTATTTCAGCATTTTGTTGGCATAAACATTGCATTTCACAGCGTTTATGTTGAAAAATAGAGCGTTTTGAGGTAAAACGTCATTACATACACAAACACTCTCATAATTTTTTAAAGTTTGGTCTGATCAAATAAATGTTTGTTTTATTCTTATTATACTGTTGAAATTAATACAATTAAAATCATCATCCCATTTCATGCAAAATTATGTGACGAGTCTTATGGTTTACCTAATCTATCCCATACGGGAAATCAGGAATTTAAATGAAAGGACAGAACACTCAAATAGAAAAAGATGATCGGACAAACAATTTGAGAGGTAGAACAATTTTAACATATTACGTCTCTGAGGTCTATCTTCGTCTAAAATTACATTTTTATATATATTCGGTTCATGCTGTATATATAAGTTAAATCATACGGAGTACTACGTAAGTTATGTCAAGGGTCTACGGGCCATACCATAAAAGGAAAAATGAAAACTATAGAAAACTAAAGGTCTAAAAGTGTATAGAAAAGAAAGTCATTTATATATTTGTGATAAATTACACTAATTTAAAGAGGTCGTATATTGCTCAAAAATGGGAATGTGATGTTAACATACAGAGTCGTAAATTGGTAATCACGTTTTTGTGGTCCTTACTTTTAAGCTATTGTCATCTAATTTTCTATTTTAAGGCCCCCCTCGGCCCCTCTCAATGACCACCAATATCAGGGATACTCTTTTGAATAATATGGATGAAAGTGTCTAGTGTAAACACGATTGAATAATGACATACGTAGTATATCAATACACTACCATATAATATTATGGTCTGATTTCTGTGCAATTTATAACTGTTGAAATCTAGTTTAGTTTGATCTGCTCTATTCAAATTTGATCCGTTTAACTCTGGCCTCTTTAGACCCGTATGATCTTGTATGTTCAAGTGTAATCTAATCTATATAATTAATTAATTATGGTCTAATCTGATCTAATGTGGTGTGAGACTAAAATAAGTTCCAGTAAAATATAAATGAATAAAGTAATACGGAGTATAAATACTCCATACTACGTAAGATCTTAAAATATCTACCCGAGTCTATCATGTATTCATGTACGTAGGATAGGAAACAAATAAATGAGGAAAATATTATATTATATTTTTGTCTTTTATTATCGAAGTCATATCGTCTGGGTATGGTCAAAATTTAGTTTCGTGTTTTCGTGTGGGAGATTGACAAACCAAACACGCAAAATAAAGTGGTGCAGTGGCATAAAATACTACCTAAATAATTGTCACCGGGGTACGAGTCTATCCTAAACCGTGTCCGCGTGTATAAACTTAGAAAATTGGTGTTTCTCGAACTATTAACTCATAAGTATTTTAAATATTAATCCCTAATTAAATATAATATAATCGTAGTATGAAAGTTCCCAATGAACGTAGCTACTAATACCACAAATTAAACTTTGTCATCCTTCTGAACTGTATATTAAATATTTGACTTATCATGATGGTCTCACAATTGGACCAAACTTCAATGGGTGCTTATCATGAGGTATTTGCAATTATCAGATCTCTGGAACGAAAGACTTGCTAAATTTTCAACCAATTGAAGGGTGTATTTGTAAGTTTCCGGTTCATGGGTCGGGTTGCAGAATCACAAGTAGTTCGATGACTTATTTGTTCCTTTTCTCTTTATTGAATTAACCTTTATTTCAGTTAGTTAGGATAAATTATAAAAATCACTTACGGTGAATTACTATAGAAAAGTTGGTAGTAGTATATCATCACTCGTATGTGTTTTCATGAGTTAATTTAATTTGTTGCCTAGTGTTCGATATACTTTATTAGTCTAAAAAATATTTCACCAATTGATTAATTTTTTATACTTTTATTAAATTATTACCATCAGTTGATATAAAGAGCCACAAATTTAAATTACAAACTACATAAAAGTAAAGTTCAAAAGGATTTGAATTAACTTGGTTTTGGTTTGTGAAGATTCCTTGACAAGGCAGCAATTGTAATGGACATCGAGGACCCAAAATGCCCCAACCTATGGAGTCTAAACACAGTCCACCGGATAGAAGAGCTCAAATCCGTGATCCGAATGGGTCCAATATGGGCATCCGGAATCATTCTCATCACAGCATACGCCCAACAAAACACATTCTCAATCCAACAAGCAAAAACCATGGATAGACACCTCACAAGCTCCTTCCAAATCCCGGCCGCCTCCATGTCCGTCTTCACCCTCTCGTCAATGCTATGCACCATTGTCTTTTACGACCGCGTCTTCGTGCCCGTGGCCCGCAGGATCACGGGCCTCCAACGCGGTGTCTCGTTCCTGACCCGCATGGGGATCGGGTTTGCCATCTCCATCTTTGCCACCCTCGTGGCAGGGTTCGTGGAGACGAAGCGCAAGCACGTCGCCTCTGCCCATGGATTAACCGACGCGACGGATGTGACGATACCGATCCCGGTTTTCTGGCTGGTCCCGCAGTATTGCCTGCATGGAATTGCCGAGGCCTTCATGTCGATCGGGCACCTCGAGTTTTTCTATGATCAATCTCCCGAAAGCATGAGGAGCACTGCCTCTGCATTGTTCTGGACCGCCATTGCGGCTGGGAACTATGCAAGCTCATTTTTGGTCTCTTTGGTGCACAAGTACAGCTCAGGCCCGGATGGATCAAATTGGCTTCCGGACAACAATTTGAACAAGGGGAAATTGGAGTACTTTTATTGGTTGGTCACACTTTTACAAGTGTTCAACTTTGTTTACTACCTTTTTTGCGCCAAGTTCTATACTTTCAAACCAATTGAGATCCAAAAGAGTGAAAAGGATGAGTCTAAAGAGAAGGGAATTGAGCTTCCCAACAGTGTTTAGTTTAATTAATTGCCTGTAATTAGTATAGTTAATCTAAGAATATGTGTCTTGCTAAAAAGTATCCTTATATACTACGATATGGTCTTGGGTGTTGTTGAGAGATTCAAGAGTATATACTCGTATATCCTATTGTGTATTGTTGCAAGAGGAAACATCATCACACAAGAAAATAATCAATGGATGCGTGGGTCCAAAAAATTTAGAAAAAATGATTCTAAGTAATGAGACTTATGAGAGGATTAGAAAATAGTACTCTGTATAACAAATTGTAGATTTGTCTTAACCCTATCCAACACCATGACACATTTAGTTTTTCATTGGACTAAATTTAAGAAAAATTACCATTGTTTGAATCATTTCTCGTAAAGCTCTCTCTATATACTATACGCGAGGCACATAGGTGGCTAAATATTAATTAATAGAAATTTGAATACATGCAACATACAATATATTCAACTCAGGTAACCAAATTTGAAGTGACTAGATTTAATTTAAAATCTAGATGTATTGATCAATCACATTATCTTTGTTTCATCAAGTAATACAATCGTCTTATGGAGTTTAGAAATTGCCTCATATATACTCCTTCCGTCCCTAATAACTTTGTCAAGTTTGACCGGAACGAGAAATAATATAGTAAAAACTATGTGGTTGAGGTTTGTGCAGAGGAGAGAGAATGAACTAGAATCACAAATTCTTTACTTAAAAAGGAAAGTGGCAAAGTTAGTAAAAGGAAAGTTGACAAAGTTATAAGGGACGGGGGAGTACGACTAAAATAATAAAAAGTGCACTAATACGTGTACATACATGTTTTTTTATAGGACTTTGTTACTCCTACTAAGAAACATATGAAAAGTCGTGTTTAGTCCACACACTAGTAGAAAAAGGGCTTATAGTGACACTAATTTAGTGTCACTGAAAGTTTCTGCGACACTAAAAAAGCGTCAGGAAAAGTGTCGGCTAGTGACACTAAATATAGTGTCACTGATCGTAAAACATAATAGTGTCGGTAAATTGTGACACATTAATGTTGTACAAGATTATGACACATTAGTATCATAACAATTTGTGACACGTTGGTATCATAAAAAAAATGACACATTAATGTTATATAAATGGTATAATAATATTATAATAATCACTATTTTATTGATTATAGAAACAATAAAAAATAATCAAAATAAAAGATCAACATTTGTATTTATTACTCAAATTATTTAGTGTCAATATCATTCAAGTACATTACAATATGCTATAGATCTACACTTTAATAATACAACATTTTTACAATATGCTATAAATCTTCAACTCTTACAAGATTACTCAAAACTAATGAAGTATAAAAAAGTGTGCCAAAAGGGGTAGTTGAAGGGTGCAAAGAGACGCTGATTTGCTTCAAATTCAAGTCGTTGCTCCATGCCACCTCCCTATGATCCTCAAGGTCTTCAAGCTTTTCTTTATAGGAAACACAGGCAAATCAAATCAAACATGTTGAGATCTGGCCGGGAAGCTGCTGAAAATGCATATTCCTGAGGAGCACAATTTCATTGATAGAAATTTAGTCATGTTGGTAGACCACATACAAGGTTCCTGATCAAACTGCCAAGACTACACTACCCAAGAGATTATTATCAATTCATAAAATGACTACCCTTTGTTCTCATGTAGTTTTTCAGTTTAGATTTACCTCAGAGGACATAAATTGTTTATTTACTAGTATTACCCTTCTTTGTCCATAAATGTTATATACTGCCTTAGAGCATTAATATGGTTTTCTCGTCATACAATAGTAGTTTATATATAAAAGAACTAAAGTTTTATTACGTTTTTAAATACTAGGAATAATTGGTAAAATAACAGAGGAAACATGAAATAGAGAAACATAGATGTAAACAATGAAAGTAACACTTACTCAAGCAGTTTTATTAAAAGTGAACTCTTATTGTAAGAATAACTAGCCTGGCATTCCGGTATGCACGGACTCAAAGTTGTGAGGTTTCATTAGCCAATTTTGACAATGTGGGCTTTGTTTAAAAAATATAGTAGACATACATATAGAAACTTATGATGTCATAAACATTGAGCTACCTGAGAAGATGATGGCACTTTGAGGGAAAGAAGGTCTTGGTCACTATAATCCATAAACGTTGACATTAGAAGCTCTCAGAGCTGCAGAAACACAAACCAAAACTCTAAGTATTTATTTCAAGCTAAAAAAAATGAGAACCATATACATAGAGGAGAAGAACTAAACCATTAATCTCATCCATTAGCACTCATTAACTCAAAAAATTGAAGAGTGGATAAAGAAAAGATGCAAAAGCAAAGGCAAATCAGTTAATGTTATGCCCACCTTTTGTCTTTACCCTTCTCAGTTGCTTCTTTTTACTGACATCAGTCCTGAAATGACAAAGGAAGTCAAGAAGGTTATATAATGATTTAGACAAACTGACAAAGGGGGGTGAAACATATATAAAAACAGCCTAAAATAAGAAAAATGATAGCCATATGTCCATAGTTCTCTACTTCTCTTTGACTAGAATACTTATAGGATACTGAAGATCCAGTTTAGGATAAAGGGTAATAATCTGACACCTCAAGAATCTGTTAACATCACACACAAAAACCTGAGAGACCAGTTGAGTTAGAACCAAAATAATAGACACCTGCAAGTTTGAATTTCTCATAATGAAATGAGAAACATTAAAGAATCTGAATAGGTATATATTACCAAAGGTAAAAATAACAATTAAATGTTAATTGCTTTATTATGTGATTAACGATACTCGTGAACTTCCACAAATTACATCTTACTATATTAGTTTAGCTGCTTCCATGTTTAGGTACTTTTCTTTATCATCTTTTTTCAAAATGATTTATACTTTATGCTCTTTATCCATCTTACTAAAATTTGCTTTAATTTCAAGTAAATTTTAGTTCACACATTTTTTACTAATATCTTTGAGATGGGCTGGTTCAACAGCAGCTACTCCTAGTCTCCTCTAAATGGATGTAAGGACATTTTTTACTAATATCTTTAAAAGCCCACATTTTTTCCTGAGATGTACTGGTTCAACGGCAGGTACTCCTAGTCTCCTCTAAATGGATGTAAGGTCTGTGTATAACTCATTCTCCAAAGGTCGTGCTTCCGAGTGGGACTTACTCAGTATGTTAAGATTGGTTTGGTTACAATTATATCCAAGTTGTTGGTGAGAATAGACTGCTACAATTTTATAAACTTCTGCAATCCAACATGGATATAATATTATATTTACGACTTAAGTGTTGTTACTCACCCAGCCTGGTTCCTCACTCAAGAGAATCATCCTAAATAAATCTGATTTCGGGAGTAAATCTCAACTTTATGCGCATTCCAAACTCTCCTTGTACATATTTTCCTTTGACTTCAACCCTGCAATAGCCACTTCCCTTCCTCTTTCATCCCCAAAAATAGAGACATATACTTTGACATCCTACACAAAATGAACAAGAATAAATGTGTTCCAATTGACCCAATGATGGACGATTAGGAACATTCAAGGCTGAAAATATTAGAAAACAGAAAACAATCAAAAGGGGATAATTCCCCTACGATTACTTGCATACATGTTTTAAACTTATAGTTAATGGGCAATATAATATCACTAGAACTGTATCTAGACAGGAGAGGGAAAAACAGAACATTTAAAATATATAGGCATCATTCAATTAAATAAACATCTAAGGAAGGATAACTCTCAGTATTAAGAAAAAGTTATAGAAACAATGAAAGTAGCCCGCCTTGTCTAGTGCTCCAAGATTTCTTACCGTTATCCTTCTTTTTTTTGTTTTTTCTTCTCCAGTGCTTTATGGATCTCATCCAACGAGTAGCCCGCTTCCTCCATATCTCCTCCAACATCAACATCTACTTCAAAATCATCAATGCGGTGTGATCTAACATCATCAAACCAATTACTAGGACAAGTTTATTATCAAGTACAAACTAGCCACTTTATTTATCATACTTGTAAGAAACCAGCCAAATAGATTGCTAGTCTTTGACCAAATTAGAAAATCAAAATTAATAAGCCAACAATAATAGCAAATAAAATGAACTAGTGTGGAGTACTCTAGCAAAGAACTAACCTGCTGCAAAACAAAGAATTAAACTAACAAACCTACAAAAAGAGTAAGGGGGGTCCAGCCGCAAACTAAACATGCCAGATTCGTAATAACTTTTCAAAGTTTTTGTCCTTTTCTTTTCTTAGGCTTTTCCACAAACACCTAGGCATCAACTTTAAAGGTGTAAGAAGAAATTATGGTTTTGAATGTTAGAAGAATCCAAAACCTTGCAACACAGATAGAATCTCTAAGAAAGAGAAAAGATTGAATACTTTCTTTACCTTAAATTGGGTGGGCATGGTGACAATAGACATATTGGAGAAGCTAGCTAATTAAATCCAGACCAAGCATGATGTTCATTGATATGGTTTCTTAGCGCCTCCTCCCTGGAGATAGATGATGTATGTTGCTTCGTGAGGATGATGTCATGTCGTCGGTCGCTCGGTAGGAGAAGAACCGCAACGCTTATTGCATCTGTCTTCACATCATTAGTCAACGTATTGTTTCTTGTAGCTTCCCTCCTTAGTTTTGACCTAGCAGATGATGAAATAAAAAGAAAAATCTACTTGGCTCCCATTTTAGAATAATAGTTCTCTTCAATTTTTTTTAAAATGAAATCTCATCAAGAATACTGAAAAGAGATAAAGAACTAACCACATACCTGTAATTTAACTAGAACCGCTGAGAAGAAGAACTCGACCTGCCAAAGAAGACTCACGAGGATAAGTCGCGAAGGAGATGGATTCGCGCGATAAGGATCAGGAAGCCGATAATCGATTAAGTTAGGGTTCGTAGAAAAGAAGAAAAAGAAGAGGGAGGATGTAAACCTATCTGAAACGAGAGGGGAGCGGGAAAAAACTTAAGCCCCGAAATATTACTCCGCAGGCCGGCCCGTTGGTAGAATACTTACTCTACTCCATAAAAAGTGTCACCGTATGATATTGATGTATTTGTGTTAAAATATAGTGACACTTTGGTGTTACTAGTAGTATTATATCAGAAAGTGTCACTAAAAAAATGTCACTGTAAGCCAATTTTCTACTAGTGACACTTAGAGATTTTATCCCGCATTTTATCATATCACACTATTGGAGAAAGGTCTTCTCATGTCGGTACATGTACTCGATAATTTTCACGCTTTCATGTTGATTTTATCAGTGATATGTAGGTGAGAGACACTGTATGTCTGTATGTATAAACCTTTTAATTACATAGGTTCTAAAACCAATTCAATGTAAAAGCCTTTAACTTTAAAAGTAAAAGGATATTACGTCAGTTACATTTTACTTAAGAAAATCTTATGATGACGGATATTTGAGAGGTCCGACATAAAATGTTCTTCTAAAACAATACATACAACGTCACTTACATATAGACTAAAATATATGTAACGCTATGTGTTTATATATACACATTTCAAAAGTTGTAAATTATACAAAACGTAATAACTTCTACTATGAATTCCATTCGCCCATACGTGCATGGAGAAAGGAAATTAAATATATGCTTTCTTATGACTTCCCTCTCTAGTATTAATTAAAATCTGAGAATGAGGAGGTTGGTAGTTTACCATTCAAAGACGCAAAGGAAAAAAATCGATTTTATGATAGTTTTAACTACTGTAAAAGACCCCATTGTGGACTACTATACACGATTGTATAGGGATCAAATAAGGAGTCTCTATGGCATCTACAATGTCACACACTCAACACAATCAACAAAATAAGTAACTCAATCAACTCAAATTGTCACACAACCAAATTGCCATTATAATTGGCACTATTGCATAATATAAACCACAATAAAAAAAATAAAAAAAATAACAAGCGGAAATAAAGCACAAGGAGCACATACAAAC